TTGTACAGATTTATTAAAGATGATGCCATTCCTATTAATATGGCACTCTCGAATTACTTTTTCTAGTACAAGGTTAAATGAGAGATACGACAGTCCATCTCCCTGTCTCAGTCCATTTTTACAATGGAAGGGTCTTGAAAAGTCGTTTTGGATTTCGACTACACTCTATACGCCTATGAGTTTAAGTTCCGTTAGTTGAACAAGATGAAGCAGCATTTGAAATTCCACCATAGCCTATAGACTGAGTCGTTTTTGTCTGTTTTTTTTCTCACGAATCTGCCTGACTCTGAAGATTTGATCTGTTGTTGATTTATTAAGTCAGAAACCGCACTGGTAGTTACCAAATATTTATTCAGCATAGGAGATCAATCTTCTGTACAATACGTTGGACAATACTTTATAGACCATGTTAAGTAGGGTGATGCCTCTATAATTATCACACACCATCATATCTCTCTTTTTGTGAAGAGGGTGCACTACACCTAATTTCCAGTCTGCGATTTCGGTTGCCAGATTTCGGTTACTAATTTATGTATGTGTTTAAAAAGGGTGTCACCACCATTTTTAAAAAGTTCAGCAGGACGATTGTCCAAACCAGGGGCTTTGTTATTTTTCAGTTTTGAAATGGCTTTTGTAATTTCTTCTTCGGTGGGGGCGACTCTTGAGCGTTTTCAGTCATTTCACGCAAAGTAATTTCTATTTGGTCTTCTTTACGACTGTCGCTAAGCAGTTCTTCAAAATTATTTCTCCACCTGTTTAGTATCTGTTCTAATTATGGAACCATATCTGTCTTTACATGCTGTTATTCTGGGTTTGAATTCTTTTTTGCAGCTGTTTATCTTCTGGTAGAATTTTCGCGAGTCTTTGCTATTGTGGTGGTTAACAATCTCGTTTAGAGTGTTTTCATATGGCTATTTCTTTTTCCTTCTAAACGTCCTTTTTTTTTAAATCGTAGGCTTTCACGGCCAGAGTCAGAATTATAGTTTATTCGTCTTCCGGGTTTGGACCGTGTCATTGTGAGTGACCCAAAAGTGGGTTCATTTCGACGTTTCGCTACAATTGTATGTAGCTTCTTCAGGAGAACAAAGAAAAAGAAATCAAAAAGGGCAGGAAGATGGGTAGTTAGCAACGGTAACTCAGTTACTCAACGCAACCAGAGGCGAATACTAACTACCAAGATGGGCATTTGGTCACAGTAACTCAACTACTTAACGCAGCCAGAGGTGAAAACCAAATGCCAGGACAGCGTCTCGACGCGTTAGTGTTCTGAGCTGTTGGACGTGAATCCCTGTCCTGGCATTTGGTTTTCACCTCTGGCTGCGTTAAGTAGTTGAGTTACTGTGACCAAATGCCCATCTTGGTAGTTAGTATTCGCCTCTGATTGCGTTGAGTAACTGAGTTACCGTTGCTAACTACCCATCTTCCTGCCCTTTTTGATTTCTTTTTCTTTGTTCTCCTGTAGAAGCTACATACAATTGTAGCGAAACGTCGAGATGAACCCACTTTTGGGTCACTCACAATGACACGGTCCAAACCCGGAAGACGAATAAACTATAGTCCTTTTTTTTTCTCGTCTAAAGCTGCTGTTGGTTAATCGATCTACATTATTCGTCGAACCAATCTTCGTTTATTTTAGCCTGGTTAGGTTTTAACAAGCCTTTAGCCGCTGTATGGATAGCTTCCTTGTATTTGATCCAGTGTTCTTCTATACTTAAATTTTCGTCGGTTATTGTCAGCTCCTCATTTAAAATGTTCCTATAGTTATTCTTCGCGTCTTCAGATTTAAGCACATCAGTATTATATTATTATGTATATTATAGTATTACTATATTTCGTAGATATATGAGACATCAGCTAGCCTCAAAAAATCGATCAATGATATTCTTGCTCTAGTATCTACCATATACTCGTTGAACATTTTCCTAAAAAAAACATATATTTAGGACGTCATCCAGCCTAAAACCACCTATATTTACATATTTCGCTCATCTATCCATCGCACACAAAAAGTGTATCTGCTCCTCACCATCTTCTTACGCTCCTTGGTTCTTCTAACGTACTTCATAAAGTCCCTTTGACGTCGATTAACACCGCAAGTCTCTCGGCAGGATTCGGTAATATAGACATCGTTATTAAAACTTACATAAGCTTAATATCATATGGTCTACAGCTTCTACTTCTTCTTCTTGCTTCTAGTGTGCTTTAAAGCCTGTTTCTTCTTCAATATTAGTCTTCTAAATTGTTTAAATTGTTGCACCATCTTTTTCTTGGTCTGCCAATACTTTTTCGTCCATTTGGTGACTTATCTCGTGCAACTCGTACTATTCTATCCTCTCCCATTCTACTAATGTGTTCATTTCAGTCCTGTTTTCGTTTTGTCACCTATCGATTTATGTTTTCTATATTGCATGCTCTTCTTACGTTTTCGCTTCTCTCCCCATCCAATAGACTTCTCCCTAATATTCGTCGGAGTATTTTCATCTCTGTTGTTTCTAGCAGTCGTCTCGTTTTAGATCTGTCAGGTCTTGTCTCCGCCGTGTACGCTAATATAGGTCTAATTGCTGCTTTATAAATTCTTGTTTTTGTGTCTTGTATTAGGTGTTTGTTCTTCCAGATTGTGTCATTAAAGGAACTCGACGCTTTACTTGCTCTTAAGCTTTGTTGTCGTACTTCTTCATTAACATCTCCGTAACTAGTTATATCTATTCCCAGATATCTAAACCTTACTTCCTGATTATTATTTTCCCATCAATTTCGATTTTACACCATAGTGGGTATTTAGATGTTGTCATACATTTGTTTTTTTCTGCTGATATTTTCATCTTGTATTTCTTAGCTTGTGATATTCTTTGGAGCTCGTCTTCTGTCTCGGCGATTAATGCGGCGTCGTTTGCATAACATAATATTTGGATTTCTTTGTTCCGCTTTCTGTAGCAATGACCTTTACGTACTGCTTGTATTATTTCGTCCATTATTATATTAAAGAGAAGTGGGCTTAACGAGTCACCCTGTCCGACTCCGCTTTGTACTGATATACACTGTGTTAGTTTTCCATTTATCTTTACCTGTATTCGATTATGGAGGTAGATGTTTTCGATAGTTTGTATAATATTGATTGGTCTTCTCTTCTTCTTCTTCGTCAGCCTTCATTTATCCAATGTTGGACATAGGCCTCCTCCAATTGCTTCAACGCTTCCATATCTTTTGCAATTCTCATCGACTGCTTTCCAGCTACAGCAGTTATATCGTCTGTCCATCTCTTTTTAGGTCTTCCCACGCTTCTTTTTGTTTCCCGAGGTCTCCAGAATGTCACCTTATGAGACCATCTGTTGGTGTCTTGTCTTGCTACATGTGCTACCCATTGCCATCTCAATGTCGCTATTTTTCCCATGATGTCGGTTACTTTAGTTATTCAACGTATTTCGGTGTTATGAATTTTGTCTCTGAGGCTTATATTTAACATGGTCCTCTCCATGGCCCGTTGAGTTACTCTTAATGGTTCTGCCATTTTTCTTGTTATTGCCATAGTTTCCAATCCATAAGTTGTAACTGGTAGTATACAAGCGTCACAGGTTTTTCGTTTTAATTGAATTGGGATTTTTCTGTCTTTTAAAATGAAGCTCAACTTACCAAAAGCAGCCCACGATAATTATGTCCTTCTTTTAATTTCTAGGGTCTGATTTTCCTTTTCGTTTTTAATTGCATCTACCTTTTCTCTATTGATGTTATCTATCGTGATGTTTTGTAGGCTGTTGCTTAATATCTTTGTTTTGTCGAGATTCATTTTTAATCCTATTTGATTCGATTTGTGATTTGAATCTTGTAGCATTGATTCTAGTTCATGGATATCTGTGCTTATTAGTACTATGTCGTCTACAAAACGCAAATGGTTAAGATATACTCCATCTATTTTTAATCCTAATATTGTTAATAGAAATAATATTTTATTGATTGGTATGTTTCTTTTACACAGTAGGTGTAAGACGTCTTCGACTTGGATGCCATCGAAAGCCTTTGTCAGGTTTATAAAACATAGATACGCTGGTTTATTGTACTCGATGGATTTTTGATGGTCTACAGCGAATCAAAAATAATATTGATTGCTGTGACTCTTTAATTATATCAAGGACTTTATCCAACTCTCTCTGATTTTTAGATATTTTAGATATTTAATTTTGGTCACTAATAAAAAGTTCGTGTTACTTTATAGAAATAATGGTAATAATATAAAACGTCCAATTTTAATTCTTTATGTATAAAGCTTCCTGTATTCTAAAGTCCGCTTTACATTTACGAGTACTCGGATCCATCCGATTACTCTACTCGGAGTGCAACTCGGAAGTATAAACGTCTACTCGGAGCCTCTTGTCACTCGGATCCGAGCTCGGATTGAAGTTGAACGCAAACCGAGTAGCAGTACGAGTTCCTGTACGAGTGAGCGTCAAAGTGGTGGAAATTCCAAATTAAAAATGGCGGAACTAAGATTTTCTGCAGATCAAATGGATCAATTTATCGATATTTATCGTTTTTTGTAATGTTTATGGAATGTGAAACTAAAGGAGTATCGGGACATTATCAAAGGAAATAATGCTTTAAATTAAATTAAATTAGGTAATCATTAACTTTAACAAACCTCTTGTAAATGTTGTTTCACCCAAATGCTTTTCTTTGTCTTAATTTTTTGTCGTTATTTTTCTCCTTTAAAATGTTTAATAACACTAATGCAACAGCAGCTCGTTTCTTTCTTGATGGCGCCATTTTTAAATTCTCTTTGAAACTACTCTGATCGCTCGGATTTAATGTAAACGATCGCAGTTCCACTCGTAACTCAAATCCGAGCTACTCGGATCCGAGTACTCGTAAATGTAAAGCGACCTTTAAGCACGACTATCACATCGAATTTGACAAACAACGATTCAGTGCCAAAGCAAGGGAGACTAATCTTCGACTGTTGAGTAAGTACCTAGCTTTTAATCACGTTTATATGTCACCTAATTTAGATGCCCGCAAGGTTACAAGTTCCATGATAGTACCTGTGTCAATGAAAACGAATGCATGTGGCTACCATGTGTAAACGGTGGTATCTGTAGAGACTATGACCCTCCTTTAAGATACGAATGTCTGTGTCCATCGGGATATACGGGAGGTCATTGCGAATTAGAATTGGCGTCCGCTGGGGCCATAATGCCGTCGACCGATTTTATTTTAGCCGTAATCGTGTGCTTGTTAGTACTACTAGGTAAGTCTTAACTTGTTAAGGGAAAGGAAAAACTTGTAAGATGTTAGATATATATTTTGCTATTTCATTTCGAATGGAAATTAATTTTAAAAAGTTTTAGATGCTTAAGTTTTGTGCAATCTGACTAGTTTTGTGCAGGTACAACTGCAACATATGCAGAAAATGCCTTGAGAGATTTAGGTTTATTAGTTATTTAACGCAGAGATCATGGACCTCATTGATGTAAGACGAAAACATAAAACAGAAAGAGAGAAGAAACAATATTAACAAATAAAATAACGAGATAATTAAAGGTACAGAAGACAAACTGAACAGATGGAAAGAATATATTCGGACACTTTTTGACGATGATAGACCTTGTTCTCTACAATCCACGGAAGATTGAATAAATAAAAAAGGTTCAAAATAACAAAAGAAGAAGTTATTTATGCAGTAAAAGCTCAGAAGAGCGGACAAGCCACCGTTCCAGACAATATCAATGTCGAAATACTTAAATTAATTTCAGACAACGAAAGTAAAAGCCTCTACTTTATAACAGCACTATTCAATAAGACATATGGCACAGGTAAAATACAGACTGGCTAAAATCAACATTCGTAACATTACCAAAAAAACTTTGAAAAATAAGGCAATTATATCGAGCACAAGTTTAATTAAATCTTGCCCAAGTACTTTCGCTTAAAATAGCATCTTCGGGGCTTTTCGTCAAATATGGGCTATCCAGCAAGCGTAGAATGTGATAAATTTGAATGATAATATAAAATTGGACAAACACTACACTAAAACAAGGACAAACAGTTTAAAATAAGTTAAAATATTTCTACGCTCTACATTCTTTTGCGGTATCAGGAGAGAGAATGAGAGAGATTCTCATTCTCCTCCTCACAATTATATCGAGAGTGCTCGATATAATTGCCTTATTTTTCAAAGTTCATTTATTCGAGCATTCAACCTCATATCAATTATTACCAAAAAAAAGCCAATGCCTCACACTGCAATGACTGTCGAATATTAAATATCCTTTCTCATGTCCTTAAAACTTTGCTCAAAATCATTTATATACGAATTTACAAGAAGTGTGAATTTCAAGAACACGAGAAGCACTTTTTTGCCTTAAATGTGTTAACACAACGATGCAGAGACATAAATGTAGATGTATATGCATGCTGTATTGATTATCGATAAGTATTTGACTGCTTTAAACCATTAAAAGATGATCGAAATTCTGAGAACAACTGGAAGTGACGAACAAGACTTATCTCTGAATTAAATTGGCTCCAAACGGCAACAATTGAAATAGAGCACACAACATCTGAAGATACACAAATTCTACGAAGAGTGTGGCAAGGTTGTGTCTTATCACCGCTATTATCTAATCTATATTCGGAATCTATATTCAGAAAACCATTAGATGAGGTTCAAGGTGGAATCAAGATTAACGGAACCAACATAGACAACAACAGGTACGCTGGTGATACCGTCCTAATAGCAAGCAACGCACAAGAACTACAAAATATAATAAATGTGGTAGTTTTTTTCTTTCTTCTTTGATAAAGACCTCCGTATTTGTGGAGGTTCTCTCCTTGCTTCTACGCTTATACTTCTTGTACATCAACCCATACATCCCCAGAGGCTACTTCTACGGCCCCAACGCCACATACCTAACCATCCAGTTCTCCACGATTTTTGATCTGAAATTCTCGTATTCTATCTACTTTCCTTCTTCTTCTTAGGGTGCCTGTCTGTACCGAATCTTGGCGATCATTTTGGCTATGATGACTTTATTGGTTGCTATACGGAATAGTTGTGTTGAAGTCTTTCTATACCATGCCCTTAGGTTAGCCAGTCAGAATTTACCTTACAAAATGCATTGGAGTAGCTCATATTTGCCTTGATTTCTCATTAAATGTCTCAAGTTCTGCAGCTTACGTTGCTTCACTCTCTCTCTTGTCGTTTCCTCATTGCTGAGGATCGTGATTCCCTACAATGCGGGCTGTCAATTCTCTCCATCTCTTGCGATTTTGGGCTGCTCTCATGGACTCGGAAAACGTCTCTCCAGTGGCTTTCTGTACTTGATCTGACCATCGGATAGGTGAGCGTCCTCGGCCTCTACGTCCTTCTACGTTTTCGCACACAATTAGTCTTTCTAAGTTGTCATTGTCTCTTCTCGCAATGTGGCCAAAAAACTTTAAAACATTTGCAAGACACTGAGAGGAGAGTCTGGTCTGAATGTTTAGCTCTTCGAGAATCGACTGATTGGATCTGTGCTTCGTCCACGAGACGCGTAGCATTCGTCTCCAGCACCACATTTCGAATGCGTCAATCCTTTTCCTATCCTCTGATTTTATTGTCCACATACGTCCACATACGTCGCTTCACATTGTTGACTAAATCCGCGGTTTGAATTCATACTCCATAGTACTTCTTCATTGGTGATTTTGTCTGTCCATGGTATCTTCAGGATCCTTTTGTATAACCCTAGCTTAAAAGCCTGAAATTTTGATAAAGTTTCTGCTTTCAATGTCCACTTTTCTACTCCGTTCTTCTTCTTAACATGCCATACACCAAAGTGCGTAGACGACTATCTCATTACTAGAATTCTGTTCTTGGCGGCGTGACACAGCTCACCTGTATTGTGTATTCCTGTCCATTCTTTAATATTCCTTAACCAGGACAATTGTTTGCGGCCGGCTCCTCTCCTACCTTCGATCTTCCCTTGTAGGATTAACTGTGGTATTTCATATTTTGCTCCTCTCAATATGTGCCCAAGGTAACCAATCTTGCGTTTTTTAATTAATTCAAAGAGTTCTCTTTCCACGTCGGCTCTATTAAGGACGTCATCGTTTCGAACTCTATCCAGCCAAGGTATGCGCATCATTCTTCTCAATGACCACATTTCAAATGCTTCAAGTTTGTTGATAGATGTTTTTTTCAAAGTCCACGTTTCCATGCCATAAAGCAGGATGGACCATATGTAGCACTTGACCATTCTGTAGCGTATTTCGAAGTTTAGGTGTTGATTACATAGGAGCGGTCTGAATTTCACAACAGCTTGTCTTGCCATTTGTATTCGGGTTTTTATCTCGTGTTGTGGATCCGATTGGTCATTGATTGTGGTGCCAAGGTATTTAAAAGTTTTCACGCGATTTATACGATTGTCACCTATGCATAATATCGGGTTTTCTGGAGGGTTTCTGCTAATGACCATATATTTCGTTTTCAAAATGTTGATTTTGAGGCCATATTTTTTACCTATGCTATTCACCCTATCAAGTAATAACTGCTGATCTTCCAAATTATCAGTTATAATCACTGTGTCGTCCGCATAGCGTAGGTTGCTAATTGGTTCTACTCCGTACAGAAGCAATAAGTTAACGTAACATTTAAGGAGCCTTATTTTTGTTTCTAGGGTGAGGTCATGGCTGTTGAACACCGAGCTCATAGTCAAGAATGAAATTTTTGTCTTTTCCGATCCGACATTTAATCTCTTGGGTATTGTCCCACGACTTATTGAATATAGTTCCCAAGTGGTTGTACTGTGAGACACGTTCAATTCTCATTTGGTTCACATACAGATTTGCTCCAGTTATATTTTCCTTGCTGATGATTATTAGCTTGGTTTTGCTGGTGTTTATATCCAGTCCATATGTTCTACTTCTTTCCGTTATTTTGTTTATTAAATTTTGCTGTCCTTCTATGGTATTGGAAAAAACCATTAATTTGTATATTCTCCATCTATTCGTAGCAACGCTAATTAATTCCAATATAGAAGTATTCACAAACTTTTGCTCCTGGTTGTAGATAGCATTCTACTGGTATTTTTCCTGCCTTGTATATTTCAATAAATATTTCAGTTATTATTGTTATTTGTTCTGCTTCTAATAGCTTCAGCAGTTCTGCAGAAATTTCATTAAGTCCCGGTGCCTTTCCATCCTTCATTTGTCTAACTGACTATCTACTTTTTAGTCTACTGTTATTACCATTGGTTTTCGTTAGATTGTTGGCGACAGTTTCAAGATCATCTTTTGTATCAGATGATATCTTTCTACTACGGTTTCTGTCGCATCGTATGTTAACATATATACATAAATAAGTATTCAGATAATATTTTACCCAACTCTTATGAATTAGTATTACTACGCCTTTTTGTCCTCTCTTTAAGAATCTTTTGTCCTCTCCTAACATAAAGTTTTAATAATAATTAGTTACCCATCGTCCTTGACATTCCCAATGGATTCAGATGGTCTAAAAACATTTGTATTTTCCTAAAAGTATTTTTTCTACTATGTAAAATGTGTCTGGCTCCAGTAGTCCTTGAACAATGAACATTCCATAATGCGATGAGGAGCTTTCTTTGCAACTTTGTGTTTGAGTGTTTCTTATTTTGCAGGTATTACATGTTTTACTACAGTTGACCCAAAATTGGAATAACGCGGTCGCTAGACCATTGTATAACACCAAGATAATCTGGTAATTTCCCATTTGATTCCTTATCGCATTACCATATTGTCACAGTCGGTTGAATCAAAATATGGTTGCTGTCTATGAATATATAATACCAAGTGGTACAGTAATAACATAAGTGCTCTTCTAAACCATGTCCTCAGTTATTACACGAATACTTATTTGATTAAACATTATATGTACCTGTCCTTTACCTCAAGAAGCGTTTTCTACCAACCAATGAAACGCGCTGTATAGGCGATGAGGTACCCCCAACGTCTGTCTTACGTGAAGTACTAAGAAAGCTTAACTTAATTTGGAGATCCTCCTCCACAAAAGGTGAGACTAAACTAACCTTAATTCCTACAGATTACACAAAACTTTAAAAAAATATACTAATTTGTCTAAAATTTCATAAATGGTTATAATGAAACATCTTAAAAGTTTGACTTACAGTTTTAAGCTAATAACTTAAATAATTTAGAAAGTTTTACGTAAAGCATATGTCAATAATTTACTTTATTTATATTATTCGTCCAGATTTAGGTTTTTTAATG